TTAATAATGCTTTATTGTCATAAGTGCCTTCAAAAACATTTGTTGACAAACCTTCTTGAATTACATAAACACAAAAAACACAAAATAAGACAATATTACGATGAATGAGAAACAACATTCTGATGCCCCTGAAGCTATAAATATCTAGTTAGAGATATTTTTTCAAGTGAATATTCAGATAAAAGAGAAATCTGATCAGCAAATCAGAATTCCATTGAAAAATATCCATCCAGGCTATAGGGTGGTGTTTTGACGAGTAGTATAGAACTTTCGATCACATGATATTTCTTCAATGATGTCATTGGGCAGGTGACTGAATATTTTCCTCTCATTGTGAATGATCAAGTGCTGAACCATAGTGGTTCAGGGACTTATCAATTTGACCATTCTGCCTTGTATTGTGTGACGAGACAAGTTGTGAGGCATTTTTTTTTTGCAAATCAGAGACGCTGTTTCTAGAACGTATAACAAATCATGATATTATAATTTCTGGAAGAATCTCTATAACTATCTCTGGATTTCGCCCAGCCTATACAGGTTGTCCCAAAATTACATAGAAAAATTCCAACCACAGGTTTTAGGAACAGAAATAGTAATGAAAGTTTTTTTGAACATGGGTCCAGAAAAAGCCCACCTAAGGAGTTATCGCAATCTGAAGGACAGCCAGAGATGATGGTTTCTTGTAAATATTTCTGAAACTTTTCATAGCCTATCCGAAAATTTCAACAATTTCCCAAAATTATCATCAGGAGCGTTAGAAATAGGTGGGGCCAGCGGCACTACGTTTTCCAACTTATTTGTTTATTCAAATTGACCAGGAAATATGGAAAAATCATCATGTTTACTTGAAAATTGTACTGATGTTTGGTTTCGATAGCAATGACCATTTTTGAGATCAATCGATTTCGAAGTCTGCTGCGTAATAAACATAGTACTTTTCTTCAACATGGAACCTACCATATTATTTTCAAATTCATCCTTCTTATTGTACTCTCCATATTTAGAATCATACATCAGGAGTAGATGTTGAATGGAGGGGTATTTATAATCAAACCATAATTCCTAGGAAAATTTTGTACGACCCTAAAGGAACAAGCAATATCTTCATCAAGCAGCAGAATTTCAAAATCGATTTATCTCAAAAACGGTGAATGCTATCGAAACTGAAGTAGAGTCCCTTCGTTACGTGATTATGTTGAGAGTTTTATATTTCCTGATCAAACTGCCAAAAATTGCATAAAAAAGAGTTGGGAGAAGAAGTTCTCCTATGCCCACGTATTTCCCTTGCTCCTGAACAAAATTTCGAGAGAAAGTTTACATTTTCAAATTAGGAATAAAACGTCAGCTACATGTTCATTTGGTTATTATATCACAGATATCACAGGGAGTTTTGAGAATATTCTCAAAACAACACAGCATCTCGAGCTCATCTTCAAAATGCTATAATTTCTCTACCCATGTTTTTATTAGGATTTTCCATTATTCTTGTTCCTAAAATCTCTGGTTCAAATCTTTCAATGTAATGTTGATACAAACTGTATATTATGTAAGGGTTTGTTTTTGCAAAACAGAACATCTCTGGATTGAATGCTCACTGCACGCCCTTCGAAATGCTATTCCATATCTAAAGTGAGACTCAATGGAGGTAAAATATGCTGTTCTAGCAGATGAAGGCTCCAATTCACTGGCAATGTTTTCCACAGCATAGCATTCAGAAGCCAGATTTATTCACATACCTGTCACATTCTCAGTGAAGCTATATATAACCCTAATAAGCTAGGTCCATCACCTCATAGCCTATAGTTGAGTTAGCAATATTGCAATGGAAAGTCATGATGATCGTTTACTTAATATTCAGAGAAATGAGGTTTGATTCACACCAATTTTTCATTATCTCTATATCCTGCATTATATCTGTTTATGATATATCTTCTTGCCAAAGGATGGTTGTGTCATCAGCAAATAATGTGATTGGAGCTTTTATATTTGAAGAGGCAATATCGTTCTCGTGGAGTAGAAATGGGATTGGTTCAGAGACTGACACTTGTGACATATATCTTCATTTTTGACGCATTTCAGACGCTGCTAGTTTCTACTCATTGTTGCCAATTGATGAGATAAGTTTAACCAGTGCAGATTTCAGTTCATGAAACCATATCGATTCAGCTTCTGCAGCAGATTCGTGATTGACGCAGTCGAAAGCTTTGGAGAAATCGCATAATGATATCACAGCTGCTGCCCTCCTGTTCAGGCATAAAATTACCTGATTCATGAAAAAACCACGACTTCATTGATGCTCCTCTCTGGGTGGAATCCGAAATAATGTCCAATAAATATATATCATTTCTTCTCAAGTTGTGAGAAACGCTAGTTTGGCAATAAGCCATTTCCATTTACTTTTATATGGAAATCTCAATCTCCAAATGTTTATTCATTCCTGCCCTAGACGGCGTTGTGTCCATTTCACAGTGGTCGAACGCCTCGTAAGTATTAATGAATGCTGAGAGGTGTTGACGTTGGTCATGAATGCTATCTGGGGACATCCCTGCCCTGATAAGCGCCAAAGCTCGAAACTGGTGTGTAGGTCGTCAAGAGTTCTTGAAAAATTTGAGCACAACTCAGCCTTCAGGAAAGAAATACTTGCAACTTTATTGGTCTGAACAAATCGTTGCACAGATTTCGGGAGAATATAATTCAATGTTCTGCGTGGTATTGAGCCAGAAAAGTTGTTGATTTTCTCTCGTTATCCACCATTTTTGTTCATTTTATGAACCATCGTGGTAATGACTTCGAGATTCTTCCTCTCTGTTATGATTTTTATTTTCTCTCCGGAATTCTACAGTTCTTATTGCTAATATTCGGTTGATCATGATTTTTTTGTTTTTTGCATTCATCTTATATGTCTCGTCATTAAATGAGAACTTCCCACTTCCATCTGAGATTTAAGAATACGAGTGTGTAAGAATTGACCAGCAGATATGTACCTAATTGAATTCCATCATGAACTTTCAATATCATTCTAATACTTATTCATATCCAATAGTGCAGAGAATGATGTATGTATAGTGAGGTTCTTCCTCTTTATTACCAATTCATTCCAATTTGAGTATTTTGGCTTTTTCCTAGTTGAAAATCGACCCTACCCAATTTTTTATGATACGCAGAATATTTGCTGAGGGCATGAAAAAGTGTGATCTTCTGGAAATACATATAAACAATATTGACATTTCCAGATCTGAACTCCTATCAGATTGACTAGAATGCTGATATTACGAACAATACAAACATGTATTAAAATTTTTTTTTGCAACCGACACAAAAGTCGTCCATTTTGATACCAGAATTAGCTCTCAAATTGACGTTTTTATTACTGACACAAAAATAGGTATGTTGCTATATAGGTAACATATTTAGTTCCTAGGAGCTAAAGTTGAATTTTAGTTCCTAGGAGCTGAAGTTGAGCTTCAGCTCCTAGGAACTAAAAAGGATGTACTGGACATCATCAAGAATAAATAACATCGTGACGGTTGGTTATTTGGGTTGAGACGCATACCTGATTTGTTTTTTCAACTTCAGCAGATTTGGCATTTTATACCCATGCTGAAGATATAAATACACCTTATTATAGTTTGGTATTGGAATTATCAACATCTGAGTTAAGTATTTTTGTTTTGATCAGAGAAGCCTTCAAGATTCAGATACTTGCTTGATCTGTATTTCATTCGTTATTTTCGGGATGGATGACTTGTTTTTGAATAATCACGGCAAGCAAAAGTTCTTTTGTCTCAAACAACGATATTGTTTAGCTTCATTTGGTTATCAAGTCAAACACAGTGTAGTATGGAGAGGAATAAATATATAATCACTATTATCATTGTTGATCTGGCACTGGCGCGGTATTCGCCATTAGAGCACCTGGTCCATACACAAATGTATCACTCTATGGTTGTATTTATATTGAAATTACAATTTGAACATCCTAGAAAACCTAACCTGCTGTTAATTCAGGTAGAATATTTCCACCACATGGTTTATTTGTCAATATTCGTTGCATTGCATACATATGGCACGGCAGTTGTGGTTACTTCACATGTTTATTTGGGTCAATTCTGGTTGCAGAAAAAATAACATGTTTCATCCGGATCAAAAGTGACTTTGTTCGACTCGCAAATTTTGCTTTCGCTCGGCTTCGCTAAACGCTCCGCTTATCGCAAATGCAAAATTCGCTTGTCAAACAAAGTGTCACTTTTGATCCTAATAAAACAATCTACTATTTTGTCCTTCATGCAGGAGATAGATATTTTTGAATCTCAATGAAAACGATCACGGAGTCAACTTTTTTGACATGAGAATAACATATTTGATGGTCACTATAAAGAAACGTCGCTGACTGATGTAAGCAAACCTCGATAATTAATTTCTAAAGAATATAACACCCTGTTTCTCCGTCATGAATAACGAAAACCCTCACCATATTATCCTTACCGGAGCCCTTGAGCATATCCCTCGAAAAACAACACTACTAGTGGGTTCATGTGAATCACTTCAGTTTCGTGATATATTCAAAATATAATATTTCTTGTTAATGGATGTTTTCATGCTTCATGAAATCATAATGTAAAATAGTTGAGTCATCACAATTACAAACTATCCTGAATAGTAGATTGAAAGCATATCACAAGTTGCAAAAATATATCTCGTGATGCAAGTATACACTAATCACTCTTCAAATATAAGTATGAATAAACTTCATCAGAAACTGAATAGGATCAACATAATGATAATATATGCGTGCGTATATATAGTACCTAATATATTTCGCTCCCATTATCATACCAGAGAAAATCGATTTAAAATTTATTATCACCTATTTTATGAACAGAGTGGTGTAAAATTGTTGGAAAAATCTTTTATCTATCAGAAATAATGATATCAGTACATTTGGTGAAGGATTTCTCACTTATAATATAATCTTACAAGACTTGACATACAAAATGGATTCATTCCGATGTGTTCTTCATTCCCACCAGCGCAGTATCAGTTTCCTCCTCTGCGTTCTTGGATGAGCTGAAAGAATAAAAGGATACTCAATTATTCAATTGATAACTAGATCATTGCTGAATGCACCCTACAAATAATATCATTAGAAGAATCTGGAGCATCGCTAACAGGAGTAACGATATGCGCAGTTTACACTTGGCTCAGTGGCGTAACTATACCGTTTGAGGCTGGTGGCAAATTCATCAGATGCCCTCCCCCCCACCCTTCAAATATAAAGAAGCAGCTGAACCAACAATAATAGTATTTTTCATTTTATGATAGGTAGTTTCTTTTACACGTGTGATAATTTAATAATAAATCACTACGTGGTACATAAACGAACTTTAAAAATAATGATTGACGACATAATTCGATCGAAAAATCAACTGTAATGTTTTATTTTTGGACATGAATAATAGTACCATCTGAAACCGGCCCTGTCATGACGTAGAAACCTCATCTTGCCATAGTTAAAAGAAAATTCCAAACGCCAGACAGAGACTGAGGCAACTGATATATTAATTGTCTCAACTGTGATTTCGCGCTAATTCACTCTGTCAGAAATCATTCATCTCTGTCTGGAATAGTCTTATTTCAGTATGAGGGTTTTGACGTCACATCATCGCCTCGTTTTCAGAGGTCCGAAAAATCGGGGATTTCAATAATTTTTTATGAAACGTAGAGAGCTAACAGCAAGAAACGGTTTGTGGTGGTGAGCTAGTTTGGATGAGTTCTATCGAATTATGAAATACATTTTTTTGTGATATAAGCCCATTATAGTGACTCAATATTTGATGATCAACTCCAAAATGAAGGTAACTAATTCAAAGTAAATATTCAATTGAGACCACAATCGTGGTTCAAGTTCCCAATTTCAATCAATAAAATTCATTTCCTCGGACTTTCTGTTCAGCAAAAGTGTTGATGGAATCATCAAAGTTCAAATTTCTGGCCATACAATTTTTGATGGATAGAATAGCCAAATTGTGAGACCATAGACTTTGTGGTCATAAGAATGGTAAAAAAATAGAAATGCAGTGCTAACTTCATCAGTTTCTAACTCAAAACCTGAATCACCTCGTATATAAAAATGAATGTTTGTCTGTATGTCCTTCATAGAATCGTAAAACAGCTTGACCGATTCCACTTCTTTTTTTTTGTGTCTGTTATGATCTGAAGAAGGTTCTCATGAGAGGAAAAATGAGGAATTTGAGATGGCGGATCCAATATCGCGGACGACTTTTGTAATTATGATCCGATTTTGTTCAAAATTGGTATCTGAGGGTTTTTGTTTTCGAAGATTATGATTCTTTCGTCAAATTCTGGAAATTCAAGATGCCAGATCCAATACGACATACGAGTTCATCAATTCGATCAGAAATTGGTATTTGAGGGTTTTCGGGGTCGAAGATTATGATTCCTCTGTCATAATTAGAAAATTGAGATGGCGGATTCAATATGTCGAACGAGCTCTGTAATGAATAGTTAGTGAAAAGAACTAGAGGATGAATGGTAGTTTAAAAGACTTAAGAGATAGATTACCGAACTGTAAGGAAGTAGAAGATAAATAGAAGTTTCTAAGACCAAGAAAACACGCTATTATGGTAAGTCGAAGTAAACAGGAGTTGACAATAAAATAATGAAAGTGTGTTGTTAAATATTCAACTGAAAAAATATTTTCTTGTAATAATGTACATACATACATAGCAAAACGAAGTTTTCCGGGTCAGGCATATTCAAAGAAATTACTCGAAATAAATTCAATATCTGTGTACTATCGTTCTTTCAGATTTATTTCAATAAGTAGCGTAGCAACGCGAGCATGTTACAGCTTGTATTGATAAGTATAATAGGAAACTTAAGTAAATTAGAGACAGAAATTTGTGACCGAAGGCTCCTCCGCCAGTTGTTTAACTTGAAATATCTCGAAAAATAATGACTATATCGCCATGAAGGAAGAGTACAATATCATCGTCAAAATTGTTGGAAAATCATGAATTTGTGATAGAATTGCAATTCCGCCAGTGGCGTAGAATTCGGAAGGGATCAACCAGTTTTTGCCCCTGTCGTACGCCTCTGGTAAAAGCTAGAAAAGTTCATTCCACATAATTCAGTTGGGTGTATGAAACCTACACTTTCCTCCAAATAGGAAAGTGACACGTTAAATAGTTTTGAAGAACTGGGCAAAAAACATTTCAAAATTTTTGAATAAAACACCCCGTAACTCAGACAGGAGACATATTTTATCTAGGTGATTTGGATTAAATATTCATATTTTGAGTTCAGGATTCTATGGTTGAAATATTTCCAATTAGTAATGGAACACTGTGTATAAAGGATATACAGGGTGTTTTGAGAAAACCTTACCCCCTTGCTAGGGTTGGTAGAACATTGCGAAATGAGTTGGGTTCGTTTCGTGCAAAAATGTCGTAACGGCATCCGTTTTCATGATACAAGGTGTTGAAAAATTTATTTTTTTACACATTCCTCACGATTATTCCGAGACTACTGGCAACATTGTAATGAATTTTGTATGGATGTTCATCGAAATCTGACACATCGCATGAATTAGTTTTTATATCTGACTCTCATAGAGGGCGCTAGTCACACGGTACGTACCGAGAAATTTTGAATATAACTCTTTTTGAAGAAGGATTTTTCAATCCAAATATGTTATGTACTTGAACATCATTCAATTTTACACCAAAAAGGTACTCCTGGTGAAACTGGATACTATGTTCCGTTTTCGGAATATTTCGATTTGAAAATAATGGAGTAGTAATGATGCTGGTATAAAATGAGTTTAATTGAGTTCAATTACCTATTTATTCAGCTTCAAAAACAATAAAATTATTCTTGTGCTGAATTTATTGATGGAACAAATAATCATAAGTAGAAAATTGAGAGATATTTGACTAGAAACATGAAATATTGAATCAGTAGAGTAAGTGTTCAAAATGTCCTACGTTTCGAAAAACAAAAAAAAATCTATATTCTTTCCTTAAGAATGTATTATTCTTCTGAACAGTTGTGAGGCCCAGCTGTTAGATCATTTGAGTGATGTTCAATTATGTCTCACAACTCTTGACGTGAATTTACCAATGTAGCATAGACTTTCTGCTCAAGATACTACAAAACTGTGCAATCCATGTTCTTAGTCAAATCTGTTTCGATGATATTTTTGTAATTCATTGTTGAATCAATGAGTTTCGCATCAGAAATGTATTATTGTTTTCGGTTTCCAATAAATAGGTGGTAATTTTTCATAATGTTCACTCTAATACATAGCTTTATACCAGCAACCGTTAACCACTTCGTCATTTTCAAATCGAAATATTCCAAAAAAGGAATACAGTATCGAGTTTCACAAAGAGTACCTTTATGGTGTGAAATTGAATAATGTTCAAGTTCACATCAAATTTGGATTGAAAAATGTAACCTCAAAAAAGTTATGTTCAAAACTACTCGGTACGAAACGTGTAACTTGCGCCCTCTATGAGAATCAGATATAAAAACAAATGCATGCGATGTGTGAGATTCCAAGAAACATCCATACAAAAGTTCATCACAATGTTGCCAGTAGTTTCAACATAATCGTAAAAAACCTTGTATCTTGAAAACGGATGACGTAACGACATTTTTTCACTGAGCAAACCCAACTTATTTTGCAATGTTCTACCTACCCTAGCAAGGGGGTTAGGTTTTTTTGGAACACCCTGTATTCATAGAGGCGGGAATCTGACGTTACATGCAAGATACATCAACTGTACGAATTATATTATCTGCAACATCGGATGAGAAGAGAAATATGTGACCATTATATATCAGATTTGTATTTGTGTTTGCTGGACTAGTGGACTGGGGTTGCAGGGAAAATAATACCCACAATGTGTTCTGCTGGATTGAAGCTGGAATAAAGTAGCGGTTGTGAATTTTTTAACAAAGCTCAAATATGAATTTGATAGTTTTCGAATAATACATAATTCTGAAGAATAATTATCCAATTCACAACCTAGCATATTTTTCAGTGAGTATTAGACAGTCTTTCAGTATCAGATTTCTTATTTATTCAACATGTAAATAACATCTTGTTGAAATCCTGTTTGCTCAAAGTGGAGTGAAATATTTCAAAGGAAATAAGGAATGCCCGAAGTCATCTTCATAACTTATAAGTTGTGAAGATGACTTTGAGCGTTCCTTCTCTCCTTTGATGTGAATAATAATATACTCGGTTTTATCAAATTGTATGTCCATTATACATTATATGTACAAGGTAAGTCATGACTAACCAGCCATATCCCAATGGCAAATAGAGGAAGTCAAGGTGAGTCGATATACAGGGTGTCCCGTAAAGACCACGTCAAACCTAGAGAGAATGTAGATCAAAGGAAATTTGCCCACCTGCTATGACAAGATTCCCATTATAGAAATCTTGCCGTTTTCGAGATTTTTGTTTTATCACCATCTGTTAGTGGAACATTAAACCACTTCGAGAATAACAGGTGTTGCGATAGTCTACAGAATCTGACATGAATGTCTTTTCTGTAAGCATATAGACGTAGGGGTCCATATGCACGACTTAGTCGCGAGGTATGATTGATGAATCTACCTATACACCTTGCACTTAAGCCACTATAGATGGCTATGAAGGCTAGATCGTCCTTCTGCCCCCTCAGGGCTTCGACTTGTTTGATATATGGAGGTACCCGTGAATCGATTGTCAGCTGGCCAGTGCAACTGATGAGACTTATGGCAAGTCGAAACAGTCTGTCTTGCATCAGCTGACAATCGATTCGTCCTTCTGCCCCCTCAGGGCTCCGACATGTATTTTATTATTTAGGAAACAAATGCAGAATTATGATCGAAACTGTGAGTTTCATACGTATCCTACCAGGCACGATGAATTGATCAGACTTCAGAAACATTCAACTCGTCTGAATGAATATTGTCCCTCTTATAAGGGAGCAAAATTCTATAATCACTTATCTGACGAAATAAAAATGTACACAGAAGAGAAAATCATTTCAAAATTGAACTCAAAGAATTTCTGATTAACGGTTGTTTTCATAGTATCGACAAATATTTCAATCGATGAAATGCATTTCATATATCTTCATCATATAATTTGTGGTACTAGGAAAGGTTACAGACTGAATATTCTGTGTACTATGTGGTTCTGTTATATTTTCATGTATCTGTATATAAATTGTGTGTGAACTTCTTGTTGTCTGACGTATCCTATGTCATATTTTATGATCGTGAAGGATTCAATAAATTTTATTATTATTATTATCTAGAGCTGTAACAATCCTCTTCCTCAGTTCCTTTCTGGTGTTAACTTTAGTATGATAGATCGATCGTTTCATATGACTCCATAGATAATAGTCTAATATTGTGAAATTAGGGAACATAGGGGGCCAAGAATGGGGGCCGTCAAGGTCTATCCAGCAAAAATAATATAATTGTTTGTCTATAGGTGGGTATTCTCTCACTTGTTTTGAGTAAAGTGGAGGTGCCTTATCCTGTTCAGAGAAAATACCTATTGCAAATTTCTTCCATGCATCCATCACAGCCTTCTTTGGTAGTGTTTTCTGAATAATAAGAACACCAAACCCACAATTTGATTCGCTGATAGAGAGAGAAAGAGTTCACATAACAGAGTTCACATGCAATGAGATCATTTTCAATATTACCTCAAAATTGTATTTATGTAGTATGAGTTGGCACGTATATCTGATTCGGAGAAATATTTTTTCTAAGCAATAATTTTCTATATTTTTTCATCTCTCATAGCGCACGGAAGGAAATTCCTATAATGTTTGAAGAAGGAAGGATAGGGGGATGAGGTAGGTATAGTAATTTTGTTTGAAAATCAGGTACTTATTTCCATGTTTTGAAATTTCTCTTCAAGAGCAGTAAGTCTGGTCCTTGAATTTTGCATCGAATAGAGCCTCTCTTCAACTCTCTCTCTCTCTGAACGATCTGACTACAATAGCTTGTACAAAATCATGGAATCGTTCATCAGTATGTCGTTCGATATTTGTTCACCAATCCGGTCGAAGTGTGCCGTACAAATTGAAAAGCTACACTACTAGTGTTTTTGTTGATCTTTCTGATTCTGATGGAAGTTTTCGAAAAATACGATATATATAATATCCATATGGGCCATCGTGTGGTGTGTCAGTAGAGGTAATTTGCTGGTGGATTTCAGGCGATGACATCACAGTTTTGCCACGAATTCAAATAATGCTCTGTATTTCTGTTATGAATAGGCTAAATATATTTTTCCTAATATATATCAACTCACCTTGACTTCCTCTATATTCCATGAGGCTATGGATGGTTAGTCATGACTCACCCTTTATAAGCAGCGGTTAGTGAGCGGTACCTATATCTAATTAATTATGTTTGGTATTTCATATAATGTTCAAAACTTTCTCTATCCTGAATTTGCAAACTAGAATTCATGATAATTTTCTGAATATCGTGATATCCAGAACCGAACTATACCTTCCTAACTCCAAAGTGAGACTGATGATTTTCAAAATGGCAATAATCATATTCATATTGGGATGAAATGATTCAGTATGGATTCAACACATTCGAATTGAAGGTAGGCAAATTCTAATTGGGACTAATCATTCGCAAAATGGGAACAACCGAATTTAAATTGTGAAAAATGATCAGGTACGGATCTAACGAGTCCAAATTCGAAAAATACATTATGAAATCGATTGATTTTCAGAAACACAGTTGTCAAATTTATATTTCCATCACGTATTCTTTCTTAAGCATCATATCTCAAACGATTCTAATATCAAACGACTGTAATTAACACATATATTAATTAAATTCAGAGCATAAGGAATTCATCTTTTAATACAGGCTCCATAATATATAAACCTTTCTGACTTTCAATCAAGACTAATCATTTCAATAATAATACAAAATAATACAATAGATGTAGATGTTGATATTGATCTGATGGGGGAAGGAAATGTTCCCTGTCAGATCAAAATCGACCATTTCGAGCATTCTTCCACATCTAATATATAATTCCTCGAGACTCATGTCAATTTCTCGATGTATTCATGTTGATGTTACAGTATAATAAGTTATAGTCAAATTTGCTTCCTGTATAGCTGATGTGATATACGTTTTTGATTTATCTTGATTCAGGTCGATATGTATGGTACAATATTCAACAGATTTTTTTATTTACTATATTCTACAGGCTATTTGGTCAGGTACAAATATAAAAACTGATATTCTCAATTTCACCAGTTGACGTAACTGGAGCATGAGGTTTATGTGAAAGTCGAAACTCTCGAAATGTTTTCTGATAGCTTTGCAGGATGATACTCGGAATCTGCAGAAACAGTGGTGGATCATTTAGTAGAATTGAAATCATGGTGAGGCTTGTTTTTGTTTACTCTCTATTGGAAACTTTACGTGCGACTTTTGAATTATCAGGGGAAGAGATATCATAAGACGAAGCCATAATAATGTGAATAGAAGGAGATATTCATATCTACCAGTTTGAGAATACTGAAAATGAATCTATGGATATCCTTAGGACGTCCAGTCGGGACATTCAGGACGTCCATAGGACGTTCGAATTTGGTACCGTGAACGTCCTTTGGACGTCTGTGGGACGCACAAATGTCCCACTTGAGGACAAACTAGGAACGTCCTTGAGGGATGTCCCTGGGACAACTATCGAATACCTAAATCATACAGTATTCCTCATCGAGCACTACAGAGGACATCCTTAGGACATCCATAGAACAACCTATCAGCAACGCTGAGGAATATCAATTGGATGTCCATTGGATGTCCCAGGGACGTACGAATTATTCTTGAATTCGAATTTTTCTGGGTCCCTGTAGGACCAGATCTTGCATAACTGATTAGAATATCCAGTTGAGTTGATGGTCCGTAGAAGGTCCCCAAAAAGTTTCCCAAGGATGTCCAATGGACTTACCTGAAGGACATCGACGAGGAGTACTTACAGCCAACTAGCAATCATTCGTCGGCGAGGTGTAAGTTAACGTCCTCGCAGGGACAACATATTGAAAGTACCGACTGGGACGTCCATAGGACGTTATTTCTAGGACATTGGAAGAGTACTGTTTATGTACCAATTGGGACATCCGACGGATATCCCTAAGGGACATTCGAAGGATGTCCCTAAGGGACATTTCGATTTTTATACGATCCTGGAAATATTAAGGGCGTCTGTGCAGAGATATTTGAACGAATGTACCATCATGGACATTTCTGGGTTGTCTAGAAACGACATTCTATGAGATCTGAAGTCATGCCAGAATATGTACTACTCGGGATATCCGATGGATGTCCCTAAAGGAATGTTTAAAATCATATCCCATCAGGGACATCCCAAGGACGTCCTTGCATGGACATTCTACAATATGTACCACGTGGGACGTCCAAGGGATGCTATTTCTAGGACATTTGAAATGATGTACCAGCTGGGACGTTCCGTGAACGTCCTTGCTCGGACATTGCATGAGATGTACGGGATGGGACGTCCCAAGGACACTTGTTTTTGGTTCGGGACATTCGGACGTGAATTATACTGAATAGGGACGTCCCTAGGACGTTGTGTGCTATTAGGGATAGTCAATAAACCACGGACAAAATAAAGAAATATTTCCCCAAACAGCATGGAGGGTGTTTTTTTCACGACACTCAACAGGTGGGAAAGGTGTTCTTCTTTTGCCTAGGCAAGAAAAATTCGGTGCTATGCAACGTTCCAAAAAAATTTGATGAAATTGGTAATTGATGGAGTTTTCAATGAATAAATGACACAAAATTGGTTTCATAACATTTGAAGAAGAAATTATATGTTTCACACCACAAAAAATGTAGATTGACTGCCTGGGCTGAATTATCGGCCTCGCTACGCTCGTCTATGAACTATTAGCCGCAGGAGTCAATCTATACTACTTTGCTGCCTAGTATATTAAACAAATGAATATTTCATTCCTCACTATCTGCAAGTGTTTTCCTGATTTGATATACACAGATGAGCCAGTTTCGTTTCATCGTCATCCACGAACATTATAGGAATTTCCTTTCGTGTGCTCTAAGAGAAAACTGGATATTTGGAATATCTCAGCAATTCATCGTTCCCCTGCAAATCATTGCCTGAGAGCGTTATCTGACTGTATCCAGATTGAAAAATGATTCAAATCAATTGTGAATTGTGTGACTGAAATATGTTGAACTGAAGAGCGGAAATATTGTTTGAAAGTTTCCTGAGCTGTTTTTCCTACTGGCCATTTCAAGCTTTCAACGTGCCCACTGATATCTTGCTAGATATATGACTCCTCGAACATGTTCGTTGTGAGAATCATCTGAGGTTTCCATAAATTAAGAATTGGGAAGAGGACTTGATACTCAGTGCAAAAACGAAGGGACATATTATATAGATTATTTATCGAATCGGTACATAGAGGAGTATTGAGAAGGAATGGCATTTGGCAACATCGCACTCACGAAGAGCAACGATTACCGGTAAACAGTGGATGCATATAACAAATTTCAGTATCAATTCCGTTCGAATATTTCTGCGGAAACTAGCGAAGACGTACGATAGCCAAAAAATGTTGCCATTTCGACACCGTATATGTGAAGAATCGGCTAACAATCTGTTTATATTTTCAATTCCTAAAATTAGAACTGACCTTTTCAGTGTGTTCGTATCATCCATTGTGAGTTCTGTTATCACTGTTGTATCCCGACGATGACTCTGGAAACTGAACAGCGAAACTAATTAGAATGTTCAAATATGAACAGAGTGCGCCTTTCAAATTCGATATATCCTCAACTCGTCTATTTTCAGAGATGTCAAAAAATGTTAAATTGACCATATCTATTTATTAAGCATATTTGTACAAAAGCAAATTGAGTTATTGGATGATCAAAGTTCACCAAGATACCGCATATTCTATTCAAAACTGTCCATTCATGTCATTCATTCATGAGATTGAACGATTTCAATTCCATAATGAACAATACCATGACATTTCCATAGAGCTCGAACAATATATAAACGTTATTTCAAAACCCACTATATTCAACTTACATGTTATGGAGTGAAGGTTCATAATGCGGTATTTTTGTAAACTTTGATCATCAAAAACTCAACTAGTTCTCATCCAAACATGCAACTCATATTAGTCCTTGAAATGAAAAAAGGCTCTATCGACATGTCGAAAAATATATTGGGCATTCCATTTAAAAAATCAAGGTTGATGTTTTTTTCGGAAAAACAAATAATCCTATACAATGAACAACTTCACGAAATAAAAGTTTGGGTTGTTTCAAACAATTTTTTCATTTAACATTTTTGCATACCTCTGAAAACAAAAGATTTGAGGGAGGGTTCCATTTTAAGAGGCGCACCCTGTACATACAGTCGCATGAGAATCCTATCAAGTGTATATATTATCAATTTCGAATCTTTTATATAGGATCAACGTTTTGATTGAATTCTTGATGTGACTGAAAAATCAGGTACCTAGGTGTACGCTTGTTGTTTTTCAAAACTTGATCAGATTTCCCAAACAGTTTTCAGTGCATAAGCTCTTATTATTTCTCGAAGTTCGACAATATGGTCATTCATTTTTAAAACCCACTACCTTTGGATTACTAAGTTAGTCACCACACTTCAATCAATGAATGCACTGATTCCCTTCTGAAAACAATATTCGAATGATCGATGATGTGCTACTAATTCATATGAATTATATCATTCAATATGCAACTTTTTTGTTTCTTCATTTCGTTCGCGAATATCCATTCCATATGGGGCACAGACTATTTACCCTCATCAAGAGGAGGTATCGTTATCATGTCCAACATCCTTCTAGAAATAACCTCAAAATCGATAGAGACCAGAGATGTTCACTTTTGACCGGATTGAACATTCATAAGGGAATACATGGGATTTTGTCCCTGCAGCCCTATTGCTTATCTACTGATAAAAAAGTGCAAATAGTATGGATTGAACTACAAGTCATTGTTCAATCCACTCCCTCAGCAGTAAAGAGTTCATTTTAGTAATATTGTGACAATCATACAACCATTATCTGGGCATCCGGTATATACTTCAGTCATTGGGGTATTTGAGGCTACATAAGGTATCATTCAATGAAGCACATGTTTCCCATATCAGCCAGAAAAATCATTCGCGAAAAGCAGCTGATCACATCAATTTTTCCGAAGCTAAGAAATCAATTATTTCTATGTGAGCATATCTATATAGGGATTTTCTGTAGGTATATTTCTTCATCATTTTTTTTTCTCTTATTGTTTATATTTCCAACATGTGCTAGAATCAGAAAAAAATATATCAACATCCGTCTGTAGATCATTGTAACTTCGACACATGGAACTAATTGAACAGTTGAAGTGGTGGAGAGTATTTGGAATAGAAATACGAAAATTTATATTCGACCGTGACGCCAAAGGGAAGGCAGATTGAATTCGTCCTGAGGATTGTAGATTGTAGATTGAAGATGGGTCGTATAGGCTGAGAGACCTCTCGATCACTGCGACCTAGAAGATCTATTGTGATTATCCCTTTCTAGTTTTGGTCCTCTAACCCTAGACTTCTGATGAAGCCTACGATTTTTCTGACGGTTGACTTCTCCACTTCAGCAGGGGTGAGATAGACCTGTTCTAGGTGGTTCAGCCTTTGACGGACTAATACTTCATATGAGCGAAGTATGTGTTTCGCGGTTTCGGTCGCATTGTTACAAAAGCGGCAAGTTTCAGTTTCCGCCAGACCCATCTTTTTGAGGTGGTACTTCAGAGGGCCGTGTCCTGTGAGAAAGCCTGTGATAAACTCTAGCTCTAGTTTGCTGAGGCTGAGTAGCTCTTTGGCTCTGTTCTGCGAATGGTTGTTGAACCTTTTTGCTTGTCGTTGACCTGGAGTTGCTCTCCAGTAGGAGGATTTTTCAATTTCTTCCCATTTCCCGAGTTCTCCCTTTATGTGACATTTGCTTATCCCACAAAAAGGCTCAGGACCAAAACGTGCAGATGCTGCACCTTTTTTTGCAAGGCGATCAGCTGCCTTTCCTTTGATTTCTTCATGCCCTGAAACCCACATGAGTGTGACTTTGTTGCCCTTTCCCAGTCGCATGAGTGTTTCAAAGCAGTCCCATGTAATCTTTGATGTATCTGAGGATACTGTTTATTTCCTTTTGGATGAAAAAAATTTACGAATCCACTCTGTACAGACTCTATGAGATTGATATGATTTTGTTGACATGAATTCCAGACAGTGCTGCATTATTCAAGTTCATAATAAAGTTGACTAATGAAAATTATTACACACTTTTGAAAGCATCACCAGACTCGAATTCCTCAAAAGAACGCATTAAAAACCCATCATTTTCATGGCTGTGTTAACAATATTCTCAACATGATGAGGAGAAGTGAGTTTATTATCAAACATGACACCAAGATCTGCAGTATTCCACACACGGGATGAAATAGTATTATCTGAAGTATATTCATATTGATTCGACTTTTTAAGAAAAATACATGACCTTTGAAGACGGCTGTGCCTTGGCTGACTGACATGAAACGGCTCACGCCATAGCGCCACTATTTATTGTTCGAATTTGAAAAAAAAACGGATGAAATGATTCATCAGATACTACAAGGTGACACTAACAATTCTTTTTCTCAATTTCAACTCTGAATACACCGATTGTCAACTTTTCTCTTCAATTGAAATTGTATATTTTTTTTATTTTCATCCTGATCGAGATTTTTTTCTCAATACAATGATGTAAAACAAGTTGACTTTCGCGCTCAATCCGTCGACAAGAAATGGATATTTTCATCAGATTTTCGACTGAGACATTGGGGGTTGGGACCGTTACTCATTAATAAAATATGACGTTGAGAGAATAATTGATGAAAAAAGAATAACTATCACAAGAAACTACAAACTAGAAAAAGTATAATGATCAATTTCTTGACGGAGCATGAATTTTTTTCTACTAATTTTACGCGGAAGTCAACTTTTCATACATCAATATATTCAAAAAGAAATTCTCTATCACAATACAATGTCATCTGAAAAATAAAATTGACAATCGCTGTCGTTGGAGTTGCTATTGGAGAAAAAAGTATTGAGGCCAGCTTGTAGTATGTGAAGAAATATCTCATTTGCTTTTTTGTTTCCAAAATCGACTATAGACTGGAGTGTTTTTGTCAGTCAACCTGTATATATTCATGAGAGAGAAGACCAATTTCATATAACATGTATAAGTTTTTGTAAACATGGAAATGAACAAACATAACTTAACAACGATTCCACTCCAAAGAAAACTTTGGTTTTCGGAATCAATTAAAGCTTTTCCATCAGCTTGTTTTTTCAGGATCTTCATAAGAAAGTTATGAATATGAAATGTATTCATCATGACAAAGTTGCCGAAAATAATATTTTGATAGAGTCGTAAAGGCAGCTGCTTAATGTTGATATTTCAGATGTGGTGGTATTCATATTCGGATTTCCTCGTTTGATCTTATTACTAATTTTGTTATCAAAATCGAGACAGATCGAAAAGATAACTTTTGGATGGTTCCATATACGATACCTATATTTAGTTTTCCATTCTCTACAGGGTGGATTGAATTTCAGCCTCATCATTGGGATCTGGTGAACCGTAAGAGTGTGAAATTATTGCAAAGTTGTGCAATGTTATGTCTGAGAATATGCCTTCTTGAAACTTGGAAAATTTGATATACTCTCGGAAATATAAACGAGAAAAACCGAATTTCCTGAAACTGTTTATTTAAATTTTTTCACAAGTTATCTGAAGAAATCAATCGGAATGGATGACAATTCATCATAGCCACTTTTTCTTACTTTCAAGTTGGCGTATTCAAATTTGAAATTCGACGTTTCGTCTTCCAGAAACCATCATCAACTGATCTTCATCCAATACGAACCTGGATTTTTTTCATTCTACCTTTTCACACCTATGGATATTGCAAACGCTGTGAGCTATCAGAAATATTTATATTAACGAATGATTCGTTATCAAAAATTGACATTCTCTGTATGTTTTTGCCCATTATGGTCCACCTTAGACTAGGTATCCCCACCCCTGATTTTTTGTTATTTTCTGGTTCCCATGAAAATTGATATCTTGTAATGTTCAGAGAACATCGTGAGAACCAAGGAAAATAGGGTAGGAATTGGTGTTCTTCTTGAATTTCTGGATGTTATGTGCCTCGCAGAACACCTCCCTTGGCAATGTGTACCAGAGCCTCACTGTTCGTTGAATGAACGAGTCTTTTGAAACGGATGTTGCTGATATTTCAGAAGAGCATCGTATATGAAAAAATCTATGAAATAGGGCCAGATCGCCAACTTTTCTATGGTGTCCCAGAGAAGTGAGTGAGTTCGTGTGCGAGGCATCACCCACGAGACGAATTGCCCTTTTTTGGACAGAATCCAACAATTTCAGGGTATGTTTGGGTGCTGCACTCCGAATATGGAAACAGTTCACCAGGACAGGTCAGTGCCTTCTAGATTATAAGCAGCTGACTGGAAGTGAAATAGCTCCTGGCTCGAAACAGAAAACCAAGTTTTTGGGATGCACTTTTAGCAATTGATCTCACGTGATTCTCCCAAGAAAGGTTATTGCTGATAGTAATCCCAAGCATCGCAATGGATGTCTTCAAAGGTATGATTACTCCTGACAAGCTTATGTTGGGCACAGTGAGATCGGCTCTTCTAGAGAAAAGCCATGCTTGTGTTCTGTTTGCATCGAAATCTATCAAGTTATTGTATCCACATTCGAGAATTATTGCCAAGTCCATATTAATGTTGTCAACATTTCTCCTCCGTTCGTTTCTGATTTGCCTGGCTGGAATTGGAGCCCTGGAAGAGGAGGCGGTATGGAGGGTACTATCATCCGCGGACATCTCCGGACATGAAGTTTCTTCCAACAAATCGTTGATATGGAGTAGAAATAGTGTTAGGGCTAGAATGGGTCCTTACGGAACACCAGAATATATGATGAGAGCGAGTCAGATGAAACTCCGTCTACCACTACATGGAAAGATCTGTTTGAGAGAAAACTAGCTAGCAGAGAACATGGCTGGGGAGCCAAGCCATAAGATCGGCGAGGAGTCCATGGTGCCAGACTTGATCGAGTGCCTTTTAGATATCAAGTGCAACGGCTCAGGTTTCACCATATTTTTCAATAGATCGCTGCCATATAATATGTGAGACGTAAGCGAGTAGGTCACCAGTTGACCTCTGATGACGAAAGCCATATTGACTATCGTTGATAATACCAGAATGTTCCAGGTATTTCAGGAGCTCGATGTTGATAGCTTTCTCCATGATCTTTGAAATAATTGATAGCAGTGCGATCGGTCTGTAGTTGCTAGGTAGGGTCTTTTCGCCCTTTTTAGGAACTGTTTGTACTCTTGCAATTTTCCAGTTGGACGGGAATATCCTCAATCTGTAAGAGTAGTTGAGCAACTTGCAGAGAACAGGTGTTAATTCTGGAGCACATTCCTTGAGAACAATCGGTGGGATTCCGTCTGAGCTATAAGCTTTGTTGGTGTTGAGACCCAATAAGATATTCCTTATAGTACGTTGGCGAAAGGTGGTCTCGGGCATATATGACTGTCAATTGGCGTTATGTTTGGATGTTCTTCTCCTGATGAATCCAGAGTGGAATTTCCAGCGAATGAATGCGCAAAAATTTCGGCTTCCTCCTGGGCAGTTGTGGCTAGTGTTCCATCTTCCTTGGTTAGAGGAGGAAACGAGCTGGAACTGGAGTTTCTTTCTTCAGCTTTGGCGAAGGACCAAAATGAACGGGATCCATCAGGACATTCCATAAGTTTTGATCTTATTTTGGCATTATGAGCATCCTTCGATTTCATATGCCTCTAGCCTCGACCCTCAGAGAAACTATTTCACAGAAAAAGAACGAAACACGTCGATTCTTACGTGAAGGGGGACACCGTTTGACGCGACAAAGATAATACATAGTTCAGCCCTCACTACTCAGATCAAGCCCATTTATAATTTGAATAGGAAAAAAAGGTCATCATGGCAAAGGTGATTCAATTCTGACACTGTCAGTGCAAAGTTTTCTGAATAAGGGCCAACAATTTTTAATGTCCACAATATCGCGCCACTGAAACTTGAGGTCAGAGATGGTAGAACTAATAAATATACTTCTTCTTTTCGTGTGATTTTTACCCTTTCCATGATATTTTCTTCTACGTCATGTAAGAATTGGTCGTGAAGTTTCACATTGGGAGTAAAGAATCGTAAGTTTGCTCAAGTCTTTCAATAACTCGAGGTTTTCAATTTTCTTGAATATTCTGCATATTCCATCTGAATCACTGGTTCGTATCATTATGGAATCAATCACTCACTACATAAATGATGATGATTATATATATAACGAACGAATTGCTACTCACTAAATTCAATAAAAATGAAAGCCATCGTTTTTTAACCTACACATTGCCTAAAATTTGTGATATTATACCCCTAAAGATAAAACATATCGAAAATAATGGAGCTTTCTTGAGATAATAAAAAAAATTCATTTTCGAAAATAACTACCACTATTATTGTTTTTTTAACCCTCTGTACACAACTGTACTTAGAGTTATTATTATTGCTTTGTATATAGCAACACACATGCACAAGTGTTAACTCACTTGGGTGCTATCATTGTACAATCTATAGCTAGCTCATCATCACCATATTACGATTACTGAATGTATTTGCTGAATGTATATTGTTACTGAACGATATAATATAATACATCGTTCAGTAACAATATACAGGGTGGGCCACCAGTAACGCCTCGGTCTCTAGAAGGCTAACCACTCATCTTCTTGGAATTCTACCTGTCTAGGAAGTTGCACGTCAATATAGGCTACCTTTTGGAATTATTTCAAAACATACAAGGTGTCCCCAAAAACCGCAAAACACTAAAGTTATACTTCTTTTAATTGAACACCTTATATCTTATTCCATTTTGAGATTTTCCCTGATGAGCTGATTTCAACGACCCATCATACTAGGGGTCTAGCAGAAATAATTACTGAGATATAGGGTGTGAAAAATCGAGATTTTCCAGGTTCAAGAATTTTTTGTGTCGAAACTATTCATAATTGGTCAAAACGGTTTACATGTCCATATCACAACTTTTTATCCACTATTAATTGATATTCGATTAAAACGAATGCTGGGTGGTTCAGAATTAAGATTTTTGACCACCCTGTATCTATTTCAATTAAATACCAATCGATAGCAAAATGAAAAATTGAGATAGGGACAGATAAAGTGTTTTGACCAATTATGAATAGTGTCGACACAAAAATCTCTTGAACCTGGAGAATATCGATTTTTCACAGCCTGTATCTCAGTAACCATTCCTGCTAGACCCCAAGTGTGAGGGGTCGTTGGAATCAGCTCAACAGGGAGAATCTCAAAATGAAAAGAGATATAGGGTGTTCAATTGAAAAAAGTATAACTTTAGTGTTTTGCGGTTTTTGGGGACACCCTGTATGTTTCGAAATAATTTCAAATGGTAGCCTATGTTGACATGCAACGTCCTAAGGAAGAAGACTCTCAACAAGATGAGTGGTTAGCCTTCAAAAGACCGAGGCGTTACTGGTGGCCCACCCTGTAGATTCAGAAAATACATTCAGTAATCGTAATATGGTAATGATGAGCTAGTTATAGATTGTGTTCGAATTGAACAATTGTATGTTAGATAAAAATGAATATTTGTATGTTAATGTTGTTATGTAACAACTGAAAGAAGAAAAAAATTCATGAAAGCTAAGAAAATGGAGATAATCTTCGAAACTCTTCGTTTGGAATTCATGACATAGTTTTGGCTTCAATTTCAACTGAAAAAGCATGAAATCGATTCCAAATAGTATAGCTCATCAAAATCCATGAATTTGCTAATGGTTTATATATTTTTTCTATATGTGCTAGGTATTGGTAAATTGAGGATAAGTATACTCACTTTTGTACCCTACTATCGTCAACTGCGATAGATATCAGAGTGAAATTCCTGCATGGAGTGTAATCATGATTCCTCAGAGACATGTGGAGGTAGAAACTATTCCTAATTGCTGATTGCACCTGTGAAAATAACTCATTATGATAACAAGAAAAAACTCCATTTCAAAAAAACACTAAACAAGATCGATATAATGAAGAGGAAAATAAAGACAAGATGCACCTATTAAAATAGAATTCAATATTTGATCAATGATATGGTTATTTAGTTTTTTCGATTTGATTAACATTCAGAGAAATGACACAACAAATGCGGCTGTGTGCTACCTATCATAACGTATGATAAATCGTATATAAGATCAGAAGTTGGATTTGTATGGATATGAATTGATATTCTGAGGTCGAAGATGATGAATATGGGAATTATTGTTCTGGAATGTGACCTACCTACTTTCCACTCAATACCATGTACAGTGTACACCCCTATATTCTCGATATTTTCTATACAAAAACATAAAACAATATGCGGGAGTCGAATGCCGTAATGAGGCAAGTTCAACTGGGTCGTTCCTTGAAGTGTGAAGAACGAGAAATTCATTTTCTCAAATGGAACACCCTGTTTTTTCGTTTTTTCCGATATCAATAATCAATAATTTTTTGTGGCTTCAAAATATCACCATATGGAGACGTTGATATCATTATACTCGATATTTTTTGCATCGCTTCTCGACAATTATCACAACAAGCACTGATTTTTGTGTACAAAATGAGCAATGGCAGGAAGGATATATGCAAAACTATAATATTTTCAGAAGCATAAGAGCCTTCAACGATTAGGAGAGTAGACTGAATTTTTCCCAAATAGAATCATCCTCCAAATATCGTTTGAATCCATATCTTCTCAGAATGTTTTGGTCCTGATATGAATTTGTGTCGTACCTCCAGAACCATACTCAGGAAAGGAATGTATTTCCTCACTGAATTCTGCGCATCCACATTTCGAATAACTCTGGTAGATATAGGAGGGGTTCAAAAAGGAAAAAATATTAAAATCGCTGAAACCTGAGAAAACATATTTCCAGATTCGAATTCAGGACCCCAACAAACATTCTCAATGAAAAAAAACTTCATAGATTCTATAATTCCCTCTAGATAAACAGCTCGATAACAAAGTTCTGTTAGGAACAAGTAATACAGTAACAACCTAGCAACTCCTATGATCCAAATATAGCGGGAAAGTAATGTATTGGTACTGCAACTATCAACGTTTCCATAACTAACTTTCAATGTATCTCATCGACATTCCACTTCGACGTACCTACCCATGACAGTTTTCTGATATTTGAAAACACAAGTTGCCTGTGATCATTTTTGTAATAGATTCGAAGAAGCACTAGTGCCGTAATTAACGTCATTATGACATTCAAAGAAGTGTTGGATCATAATCATTAATTCACAGTTGTAGATAAATAACTATGATGCTCGGACAGGCGTAATGTAACACTTTATCGTCCGATTTTGCGGTAGGTAACTCGTATCAAGCATTCCTGTATAATTCAGCAGGACAATATTCATATTCCAGTTGCGATGGTTCATCAACTAAAATGACAATTATCTTAATGATTCGAAATGCAAAATTATATGATCAAACCCAAAATGAGTTATCTGTGATGACATTTATTGACACCAAGTGACACCAACATGACACCAACTATAATTGTACTCCTTCAAAAAAAAAAAGACTGAGTAACGATAGTAACGTTGATTTCATCAATGCTTTTTCCCACTGCAAAATAAAATGGTGTATTTCTATCTTTCTTCAGAGGTGGAGTGGTATCTAGGGGTGGGAAAAATTATCGATATATCGATGATTATCGATAATAATTTGAAGAAAAAATATCGATTTATCGATATTATCGATATTATCGATATTATCGATATTATCGATATTATCGATATTATCGATATTATCGATATTATCGATATTATCGATATTATCGATATTATCGATATTATCGATATTATCGATATCATCGAAATTATCAATATCATCGATAATATCGAAATTATCGAAATTATCGATATAACCGATGATATCAAAATTATCAAAATGAATGAGCATCAGAAAAATAGGTATTTCTGTTTTTTTATATGGAACACCCTGTATAAAATAGATACCTGCTGGTAAGAATTGAGGTAAGAATGAAATTATAATAAGACACGGCACCCTGTACATTAGCCTTGTTCAAACAACATAGGACTCCAGCACAGCAACTTGCCTGAAGCTATCTGACATCTGGCAACGTGGCAACCCTTATTAGTTGTGGTGGCAAACTTTTTGGTTAGTTTTTTTATCATTCGATCGCTCATTTCTTGAAAAATAACATAATGACAAAATAGCTTTGTTTATCATACCTACCTAGAAACCAAAAAGTAAATTATCATTAAAAAAATTAGTTTCATAAAAATACCCTTGTCACGATTAGGGGTGGGAAAAATTATCGATAATAATTTGAAGAAAAATTATCGATTCATCGATATTATCGATATCGATAATATCGATAATATCGATAATATCGATAATATCTATAATATCGATAATATCGATAATATCGATAATATCGATAATATCGATAATATCTATAATATCGATAATATCGATAATATCGATAATATCGATAACATCGATAATATCGATAATATCGATAAATATCGATAATATCGATAATATCGATAATATCGATAATATCGATAAATCGATAATATCGATACATTATGATTATCGATAATCGATATTTCAAAATCATTATCGCCCACCCCTAGTGGTATCCACAATAAAAAATCAAACAAACTGGTCGTGCATAAATTATTGTTGTATGTATTTCGAGCGTAGCTTGCTTTTATGGCACTTGACTTGTTAATAATAGCACTCGCTATCGATGAGGCACTTACTCACATGCTACGGTTCATGAAAGTCTAATTTATGCCCTTGATACATAAATGACTATAATGTATCAAGGGCGTGAAATAGGCTTTTATGGACCGTAGCATGTAGGTGAGAGCCTGAGCGATAGACAGGGCTTTTGATACACTAAGGTCCATGAAAGCAAGTTACGCCCGGAATACATAAAACATTTTATGCACGACCAGTAATATAAAACATCATGGCTGCAGTGAGGAATATCATTAATGGAACCGACGTCACAATATTAACTCAATGAATTTTTTCAAATAATGTCATGCATCTCAGAAGTGTCATGAGAACGATAATTTGGGATGATGAATCATAACAAATAAAACATATATGTCCTGAATCGAACAGGAATGCTTTATACAAGTTACCAAGTTACACCAGCAAAAAGTGCCACTTAACGCCCGCAAAACCGGATAGTAAAGATTATTTTTTACGATCAAATAGAGTAGCGATATGCATGTGAAGGGTGAATATAAATGCAACAGTCAGTTCTTATATCTGATCTTGATGCAATATGTCATCTAGTAAAATGATGAAATAATGATTGATGATAATGAAATAATGATTTTATTCTGAGCACTGAAGAATCAAATCTAAGCTTCTTCGCTTGAGAGCAATTTGATCAATAAGGTATTCCTTCATTAGATATGACTATACCTACTATGAATTGATTTCATGGCTAGTCCATGAAGCCTCACTTCCTTGAATAGGTTTCGATGCTTCTAGAAGGATAATTTTGGAATGGCAAAACACAACTGGCAATGTTCTGAAGTTTGTGCACATTTTTATGTAAGTACATCGACTACAAATTTCCAAACAGGCCAATTTCTGACTTTCCTTTTAAATTTTCAATAATTTATTCAAATGCTCGTGTCTTATTTTGAGTTCGGCTTTCATAATGTTTTTAGGAAATATTTCGGGGGGTGAGTATTGTTGGGAACAAAATAAGGATTTCCTTCATATAAACATGTGTCTTTCTCATCTCTCCCGCAGGTCCCTTCAGTGCACAGGTGAAATTTCGATACATAAAAGAACGGCTCGCGTCCTATAGACTGAGAAGAAAAACCTGTACATATTATTTTCGATGAAGATTGTATTATGCAAAATAACATTACATATCGACTGAATGAATATTTTATTCCCCATTTCTGACAAAAAAACGAGGTTTTGGTTTCTGAAAAAATCAACAATAATACTAACAAGAATATATAATAATGGCACATAAATGTTAAATGCACCGTAGAGAATTAACGTACGTTTCGTCAGCCCACACATGACATACTCATCTGGAATGTTCTGAACGAATATATCTGAGAATTCTGCATTAAGAATGCGTTTTGTGATCTTCACAAAAAACATAATCACCTCTACGGCCTCTGGCATGTCCCTTGACAGCTACTGGTTCAGATACCTCACATAATATGCTGTGCCTGATGAACACCGCTGATTTTTACAGCACGAAATCGTCAAATGCGTCTGTAGGCACCTCATCATACAACTTCTGCTGCTTAATGATCTTTTTTTATATGGATCTGCAATATTTCAATCTGAGATGATTTTACACTACACTGATTTACCACTAAACGAACCGATTTTTTAAACGCCTCGAGACGTGTTTCGCTAACTATTATAGCATCTTCAGCAGAAGATTAATGTTTTTTTCCACCTAAAAAAATGATTGATCAGTACTAATGAATTAACTGATCCATATCGTCTGACACGAAGAACAGGTACCAAGTCGTGTGGAGTCGGCCGAAGTCGTGTTCACACATTCACGCACCTGTAAAATAGCTTCATCCGTAAAATCCGACACGTGCACTGAAGAGTGAAGGGTAAAGAAGGAGAGTTCTTGTTAACAAATATGTTCCACACCTCAATTATCTAATAGGGTACGTAATGTGATGCTTTTCACCTACCTCGCCGTTGAGAAAGCAATAGAGGACGGCTACGAAAAATCCCTGGAACGTCCCCAGAAAATAGGCCGAGAAGGACCAAAGTGCAAATTTCCATGCTTCGTTGAATTTGTAGTAGAAAAATAGGATATGTGAAATTCCCATGAGTGGCAGCAGGAATATTGCTGCCCGTACGGCCTTCCTGAAAATCAAAAATTAATTCAGTACTCAATATGATGTACCTGGACAATCAGTTTTTTGTAGCTGAACTTCAACAGCTCATAGCGGATTCTTCTCAAGATGGAAATCGTACATGAACATTCACAGTGTGACCAAGATGGGCTTGAAAAAGTTCAATTCTAGTTCTCTCTCGTTATTATTGAATATATAGAATAACTGAGAGGTGATATTAATTTCTCTATGCGACGTTCTGTAATCATGGGAGCATTATAAACTATTTTTCTTCAATCTACGGTTCAGATTGCGTGTTCACAGATTCTGAAAGATTGTTCCATTTCGAATACAACCATACAATGTGACCCACTTGGAAGCGGGACACCTTAATAAAATTTGAATTGATCCACCGATTTTGACGAACTTTTCTTTGAATTGTAGAGTTTGAAAAACTGTACTTCAGGACGAAACATATTCAGATTCCTACAGAATCCAAGGCCTACTGCGTTTATGTTCATAGGATAAAACTCAAGAAATCGTATAAGCGATTTTTTTACGAAAGTTTTTAAATCATCATTGGATTCAGCACCCTCTCAAATGGTTGAATACCAAATTTCATGAAAAAATATTCGATATTAATAATTTTGTGGCCAAATCAAAAATCGAGTTTGTATTATAGGTTAATTCGAGTGTATGATGAAATGAAAAGTGAAATGAATAAAACGTGATCATTGATGATCATGTGGCAAATGAGAGAAATGAATGAACCATATTTATTATGATCAAGTTACCAATGGAGAGAATGGAACAATTAAAAACAATAACTATTATAGCTAGAGACACGAATGAACGTTCATCAAATTCTTGCTGTTTCAACCAATCCGCCATTTTTTTTTTTTTTATTGCTTGGAGCGCACGAGAGGGAATCCCTATAATGTTCAAAGAACATCGTGCGTTCCTAGGGAGGATAGGGATAGGAGGTAGGTATTGGAATTTTTTTTGAACTTCTGGAGATTATATGTTGTTGGGAATACTTCCTCAGGCAATGAATTCCAGAGCCTAGCCGTTCTATGGATGAAGGAGTTTTGATAAAGTGCTGTTCGACATCTTTCGAGGTTGACAACGAAGGGATGTGCTGACTGGGCTTGTCTAGTTTGTCTGACTGGTATTGCTAGTGAAGGGATGATAGCAGAGATTTCCGAAGAACATTTCCCGTGGAAGTATCGATAGAAAAGTGAAAGGTCACCGACCTTTCTACGGTGTTCCAATGATGTCAAAGAGTGAGTGAGTGTGGCGTCACCCACCAGGCGAATGGCTCTTCTCTGGATGGAATCTAAGAGCATCAGCGTATGTTTTGGTGCTGAACCCCATATGTGGGAACAGTATTCTAGAACAGGCCGTATCTGCGCTCTGTAGATCATGAGAAGCTGTTGAGGTGTAAAGTAGCTTTTCGCACGGAACAAGAATCCGAGTTTTTGTGAAGCAGCTTTTGCGATGGATCTGACATGATTATCCCATGAAAGAGTGTTGCTGATGGAAATACCGAGCATAGATATGGTGGGCTTGGTGGGGATGGTGGAGTGACTGAGTTCCGCCTTTCTAGAGAAAATGCAGGCTTTAGTTTTTGTGGCGTTGAATTCAACTAGGTTGTTTGTTCCCCAGGCTTTGATTTCAGCAAGGTCTTCATTGACAGCATTGACCTGCCTGCCTCGTGAGTTCTTAGTTTCCTGGGAAGAAATGGGAATTCTGGAAGAGAACGCAGTATGGAGGGTACTATCATCTGCAAAGCTGTGGATGGGGCAAGTTGTTACTCCCAACAGATCATTGATATGAAGCAGGAATAATGTTGGTGCCAAAATTGATCCTTGTGGAACGCCGGAATTGATGCCAATGGTTTCAGACGATACACCGTCCACCACCACGTGAAGCGATCTGCCTGAAAGAAAACTCGATAAGAGATGGCATAGCTGAAGTGGTAAGCCGTATGATGGTAGTTTGTGGAGAAGTCCTTCGTGCCAAACACGGTCAAATGCTTTCGATATGTCCAAAGCGACAGCTAGAGATTTCCCGTGTTTTTCAATTGAAGATTGCCATAAATGGGTGACGTAGGCAAGTAGATCTCCAGTAGATCTTCGATGGCGAAAGCCGTATTGTCTATCATTGATGATTCCCGAGCTCTCCAGATATTTGATGAGCTCAATGTTGATGGCTTTCTCCATCACTTTGGAGATTACTGATAACAGGGCAATGGGCCTGTAGTTGTTGGGCAGGTTCTTGTTCCCTTTTTTGGGGATTGGTTGGACTCTAGCTGTCTTCCAGCATGATGGAAAAATACCCGACCTGTACGAGATGGTAAACAACTTGCAGAGAATCGGTGTTAATTCTGGTGCACATTTTTTGAGGATAATGGGTGGAATTCCATCAGGACCGTTAGCCTTATTCGTTTTGAGACCAAGCAAAATTAGTGGAATTTCTTCCGACCGCTATAGCAAGGGACCAAAACGATCGGGAGCCATTGGGACAATCTATGAGTTTCGATCTTATCTTGGCATTGTGTGTTTCTTTCGAAGCATCTATTGTTTCGCTGCAATTATTTCTGGCATCAACGTATTCTGCTCTAGTCGCGAGGTTAGGGTTTTTGCGCCAGCGATGGTAGGCTGTTTGTTTCAAGGCAACAGTTCTAGAACAGTTTTTGTTGAACCAGGGTTTCGATGGTGATGATTTTTTCGAAGAATGAGGTATGTATGTGTCCATTCCGAGCATGATGATCTCGGATATTTCCGCAGCACACTGTGAAGGGTCCTCAGATTCAAAGCATATTCTATGCCAAGGAAACTCGGAGAAAAACATGCGGAGACCGTCCCAATCTCCTGAATTGTAATGCCATATACGACGTGGGGGTGCCGGATCAGTTGATGGAATGAAAAATGGGCAGGTTGTGTAGATGAGTGTGTGGTCAGAATTGCCAAGTGGAGCTCGTACATCTATGGTGTAGGGTGCTGAATTATTAGTGAGGAATAAGTCAAGTATGTTAGCTGAATGGTTATTGGCATCGGAAATTCGTATGGGTTCCTTGATAAGCTGCTCTAAGCCGTGAGTGATGGCGAAAGCTTCGGCTTGACGTCCAGCTTCATCCGTTCTGTTAGAGTGTACGAGCCAAGCAGTGTTGTGTACATTGAAATCGCCCATGATGATGATTTCTGCTGCTGGATGGTTTTGTTGAATTTGGTCAAGCTTCAGAGACAAGAATTCGAAGAGCTCTTCATAGGATGGATCATTTGGTGATGAGAAGAGACAACAAAGGTATTTGGTCTGTTTCTGGCTATCGAGTTTGAACCACATGACATCAAACTTATTTGGTTACAAAGTTTCTTCTCGTTGACATGAGAGATTCGTTTTGGAGTAGAGGCAGAGACCTCCCTTGAATCTGAAACTTGTGTGGAGTTCGTACCCAGGACAGAGCAGATAGGTCGTATTGGTGGATGAATTGACCTGTGTCTCAGTGAGAGCCAATATGTCTGGCTTGATGTTCTTACTTAGACCTCGGATGTTACATAGGTCTATCTTGAGGACTTTTTAAGTCGATGGTGAACCCCCTCTAGCACCTCTCGCCCGGAAATCCGAATGGAGAGGTATTTTACTTCCGGATAATTTTACTTGAGGAGAACTCATCATCGCTTATTCTGTATAGAGAAGGGAGGTTGGCGTGGAAGGAAAAGGAAATTGGGTTGGGTTGGGTTGGCCGGAACATTAACCAGCTACTGAAACACGGGTAAGTATACCCATTTCACAGTGCCTATGGTTGATGTGGTGGTATCGCACCGGGCGATGGCGTTAACCATCTTCCACCTATTGGCGTCCTTTTAGTCGCCTCCTACGACAGGCAGGACTTACCGTGGGGTTATTCTAATCCGACCACCACACGGTTAAGCGGTTAATTCAGTGCAATTCATTTATCATATCTTCCTCTTATATTCAATATAACTTTTCCCAGTTGTCCTGCCGTGTTAGTTCTCCCATGATAATTAATCACTGATTTTCACAAACTATCCCTCTGAATAATCTGTCAAAATCTGACGCTAGTAATATTTCAACACACTTTAATTATTGTGACAGCGGCAATGAAAATCAACAATTGTCTTTTCTTGTCTGCACGCGATTTCGCATATCTGCGCGGCTATTAATATAGCAGAGCCAACTCACCAAGATTTGATAACCAAGGGGGGTATGCAGTGAATACCTACATGTGCAATGTGAATTTTGATTTGGCGACAAAATTATTAATATCGAATATTTTTCCATGAAATTTGATATACAACCATTTGAGGAAGTGCTGAATCCATGGGGATCTCAGATTTCTCGTAAAAAGATCGCTAATACGATTTCTTGATATTTATCCTTCAGAAATAAACGCAGTCGGCCTTGGATTTTGTAGAAATATGAATATTTTTCGTTCTAGAGTACAGTTTTTCGATTTTTACAATTCAAAGTAGAATCCTCAGAATCGGTGAAATAATACAAATTTTATTGAGGTATCCCGCTTTCAGGTGGGTCACACTGTGAATCTTTGAACAACGTATAGTATGAATGTGTTCCGATCTAGTTTCAACCATTATCATTGTCTCATACCGATATTCCAGAAGGAAAAGAATCATCGATTCCACTTATACTTGAGAAAAAATTATGAGCTCACTGATACTCTATATCATCGAGTAGTTCCGATCGATAGATTCACAAATATCCTATCTTTCCATGTCCATTACATTTATCTGAGAATATTCCTTCCCAATAAGGATAATTCGGTCGACAAATCAGATTATCACAAGTTGTTTCGGAACGATACGAATACAATTCTTCTCAATATTCATGACTGTAGTATATTTAGTTAATCACTCACTGTTCTGTGAAAATTGAATTTCAATTTCACTATTTTCGTCAATTGAAGGGTGCAGGGGAAAAACCGGCCAAGTTAGTCATTGGCGAGTTTTGATATAGAACGCGCAGATTGTAGCTCATCAACTGATCTTT